GAGAATGGAGGAGAAGGGATTGCGGCGTGGCCATCCCCCCTGGGGGGGTGATTTCTCGCTTTCTGTCTCTATGTCTCTCTCTGTCTTTTTGATGAGCCCACGTACCCTATAGCAAAAAGAAACAAAACAAAACAAAACAAAAAAAACCTATCCAAAAAAAAAAAAGAAAAGAAAGGAAATTAAAAACAAAGGAGTCTTGAGCAAACACAGTTAATAGTATGCTGCTGACGTGTGTAGAAGTCAGCTGGCTGTGAGAGACCCGAAGGAAGGCGGCCTGCCGGGTGGAGGGCGGGCTGCCAGCCACGTAGCGAGTCAGTGCAGTGTAGGCTCCGTGGCTGCCGCAGTGCACTGCACCCTTCTCCCAGCTCCTGCAGGTTGGAATACATCCTACTTTAAGATTGGCGGGCTCTGGGAGGTGAAGTGGGCTTCTGCGGTCCACACGCAGAAGACGCAATGCTGCGAGTTTTGCTCAGACCCAGGGCTAGCAGCCCTCAATATCCCTGAACCCCAGGCCCGCTTCTCACGGGCAATGGCCAGGCCTGGGCTGAGGCAGAACCCACAGCACCCACATATTCCAGCATCGGGGCGTCTTCTAGGCCAGGTTCCCAGGTCCCCGCCATCCCTTCTGCCGTCAGAGTGTTACCCGTGGGGCATGGGGCCCACCCAGAGCGCCCTTCTAGGGGCAGGGCTGGATGTCGCCTAGGCCATCTGACGGCATTGACCACAGGGCCCTTACTGGGCTCCTCGCTGCCGGACACTGGACGGGACGTGGACCTGCAGACGTAACATCCACGTGACTCTGTGAAGCGGGTACAGTCACGGCTGTGTAACGGTGTTGGGATCCGCGATGGGACCACACCCCGTCCACGTGGACGACACACAGGACGTAACGGGCCACACCTACAGCCTCAGTGCAGCGGGCCCCACCTCGAGGCCTTTGTGAGGACACTCTAAGACGTTAGCACAGGACAAAGCTGCCTGGCAAGCAGTTCTCGGACGTACCCCAGTCACTAAGTGACGCGTCGCCCTCATCATACACAGGGCCAGCAGGCGGGGGTGCTCAAGGCATCGGATCCCACGTGGCCAACGCCACACAGTTCCATCCCGGACCCAGTGGCTTGAAAAACCATGCCGGATGCTCGTCTGTGGGTTCCCAAAATCCCAAGGGAGAACAGAGAAGGTTTTGCAGCGTGGCCATCCCCTTGGGGGTGATTTCTCACGTTCCTTCTCTCTGTCTCTGTCTCTCTCTGGCAAGTGCATCCTCCCTATGGCAAAAATCTTCGAACAAACAAACAAGCAAACACAAAATCTGAAACCGGGTTAAGACCCCTCCTCAAAGAAAGACTAGCTCTGAGGGGCAGGGGGGAGCCTTGGGGCCCTGTGGTGGTAGGGGTGGGGTGGGGGATCCTGAAGGGCAGCTCACACTTCCTGGTTGGGCACCTGGCTCCCCATCTTGCTGCAGCGCCTGGCAGGCTCCGGCCTCCTGACCCCGTGTCCTTCCCCTTTCACGCTTTGGCTTGTCCTGAAGGATCCCAAGGCACAGAGCAGGCTGGATGGCCCAGTGAGCCCTGAGAGGGCTCCTCGGGGCTCATGCAGACCTATCGGGGCTCCCAGGACCCAAGACCAGAGGTTCTGCTTTCACCCAGTCCCTGAACACGGCAGAGCTCAGGCTCCCTCCTGGTCCGGGGGCTGTTGGTGAGGCCCCCACCGCTGCAGCCCCTTTCAGGGAGGGAAGGAAGCTGCAGGGGCCCAGGAACCACTCGCCGGCCCCCAGCACGCCTGCTCATCAGCCAGGGCCTGGTCTGCAGGAACTGAGGCCTCCCTGTGTGGGGGAAAGCTCCAGGCCGCAGGGGCAGAGCAGCTCCTGCAGGTGTGTGAGTGGGCAGGGGTGGCAGAGGGGTCTCCCAGCTGAGTGAGCACCTGTTGCCCCGTGGAGGACAGAGCCTCAGAACGGTGGTGACCGGGAAGGCTGATGGCAGCGCCATGGTAAATGTGACGCCTGCTAGGCTGCTCCGCTTCACACCCGGAGACTCCCTAAACACGCTGGGCACGAGTGTACCCGTGAGCTGGGACACAGCCCATGAGCTGGGACACAGCCTATGAGCCGGAACACAACCCGTGAGCCGGGACACAGCCCGTGAGCCGGGACACAGCCCGTGAGCCGGGACACAGCCTATGGACACAGCCCGTGAGCCGGGACATAGCCCGTGAGCTGGGACACAGACTATGAGCTGGGACACAGACTATGAGCTGGGACACAGCCTGTGAGCCAGGCTGGCTGAGGATGGGGTGGATCCTGGCAGGGGCTGTCGGCTTTTCTCCCTCTCTCTCTGTCACTCATGGAAGAAATAGAGGAACTTGGGGAGCCGGGGTGGGGAGGGGAGAGGAGCAGCAGGAACCGTCTACAGACAAACCCGAGCAGCCCAGCCATGTCCAGCGGGCAGGCTCCCACCAGCACAGCCCAGGCACCTGGCTCCATGGGAAGGGGGCATCTTCCAGAGACAACGCAGCTCTCTTTTTTGCTATAGGACACGTGTGCTCACCCGAGAAAGACAGAGAGAGACGGTGAGAATCATCCCAGGGGGTGGCCACCGCTGCAATCTCTCCTCTTCTCCTCTTGGGATTTTCGGTAGAGACACACGCACCTGGTGTGATTTTCAAACTGCTAGGTCTAGGACTCGAACCATGGTCAGCCATGTGTGAATCCAGTGTCTTAACCGCCACACCAGTTGCTGGCCCTGACAACAGCAGCTCTTAACGCTGTGTGTTTCCTGCCTACCCCAGCTCAGAGTCCCCAGTGCCCACCGGCCGGGTGAGGCGGCACCAGCTCCATGCAAACAGCACACTCCAGCCTGGGTCCTCAGGAGTGACGTCCAGGCCTGCCCCCAGAGGACACAGCCCTGTCTGGGCACCACAGGATAATGCCAAGCGCTGGGTCCCCAAACGCGCCTCAGGCTGCTTGCACTGGCTCCTCTGTTCCCTGTCACCTAGCAAGCGCCTCTTACCCTCCAAGTGTCCTGCCCAATGTCCCGTCTCTGTAAGGCCGGCCTCCCCCCCGGCCCCCGTCCTCTCCCCATCCATCATACAAGCCCGTGGTCCTGTGCAAGGCTCAGAGCCACCTCCCTTCCCTCCCCACCCTCACCCTTCCCCTTAGCTCCTGGGAATGTCTGTGGAGGGAGGAAGCCCGGCGTCCGCCCTGAGAAGCGTCCTGTCCTGTGAAGGCGCCTGGGAACCTCAGGACTCGGTAGGACTGGGGAGACCTTATTCCCTAACAAAGTCCTCGTGGTGGAGCCCCCTGCTGGTCCCCCCAGGGAGGCCGGGGAAGCAGTCCCCGCTGTGTCCAGGCCCCTGGGCAAACCTCAGGGCAATTGCCAGTGTGGCGAGGCCCAGGGTGCTCCGTGGGAACTGCTGGGGAGCTCCCCGATCTCCCTGATCACCCTACTTCAGAACAGATCCAACGGAGTATGAAGCCCAGAGCGGGGCCACCTCAAGGCTAATGGTCAGGTCCAGAAAGGGGCCACCCCCTCCGAGGCTGAAGCTGCTTCCAGCAGCCTGCCCATGGGGAGTAGGTAGGAGCGCGAGATGAACCGGTAAGGGCAGACACCCAGAGGGCGGAGCAGCCGGTAAACATCTGCGTTCTCAGGTGACTGTTGTATCTTTTAGGTGTGACTCACAGTACTGACTGCCAGCTGCGTGCTGGCACGGGGGTGCTGGGTACAGTGGGCGTGCCTCTGCCCCCAGAGCCTAGAGGGGACAGGAGACAGACATAAACAGCTGACTTGGAAGCACAGGGCTGGAGGGGAAACACTGGCCCCAGGAAAATCCACAGTTCCTAACCTGGCTGGGGGTGGGTGGGTCCAAGAAGACTTCCTGGAGGAGGTGCTGCCCATCAAAGACCTGAAAGATGAGTAGAAAGAAAATAACCAAGGACCAAGGAACCAGGCCCATCCAGTTGAGGGAGCCATGGTGGGCTTAAGGCAGGGAGGCCTGGATCTTGAGTAAGGAGAGGTCGCTGTGCGAGGGGACACCTTTCTGGAGGGGGGAGGGGAGGCCTGGGGTTGGGGGCGAACCGCAGTGAAGGAAGCGGGAAACCTCGTGGGGGAGAGCAGAAGGTGCTGAGCCCCAGCTCAGGTGACTGTTGTATCTTTTAGGTGTGACTCACAGTACTGACTGCCAGCTGCGTGCTGGCACGGGGGTGCTGGGTACAGTGGGCGTGCCTCTGCCCCCAGAGCCTAGAGGGGACAGGAGACAGACATAAACAGCTGACTTGGAAGCACAGGGCTGGAGGGGAAACACTGGCCCCAGGAAAATCCACAGTTCCTAACCTGGCTGGGGGTGGGTGGGTCCAAGAAGACTTCCTGGAGGAGGTGCTGCCCATCAAAGACCTGAAAGATGAGTAGAAAGAAAATAACCAAGGACCAAGGAACCAGGCCCATCCAGTTGAGGGAGCCATGGTGGGCTTAAGGCAGGGAGGCCTGGATCTTGAGTAAGGAGAGGTCGCTGTGCGAGGGGACACCTTTCTGGAGGGGGGAGGGGAGGCCTGGGGTTGGGGGCGAACCGCAGTGAAGGAAGCGGGAAACCTCGTGGGGGAGAGCAGAAGGTGCTGAGCCCCAGCAGGTGGGGCTGAGGACTCGGGAGTGTCAGGGTACAGGGACAGGGGGCCCGGGCGACATTCCACACTGCCTTTACCCGGAGGGCAGAAAAGCAGACGCCCACCCAGCCCACCACCCCCGACTCAGGCTCACAGACTAGACGTGCCCAGTGGGAGCTGGGACTGGGTCTCCTTCCCACCTGGACTGCCCCTGCCCCCGGGGAGGGGCTGACTACGCCCCCAGAGCCCAGGCCCTCTCCGGCTGCTGACTCAGGCCAGGCCGGCCAGCTCAGCACTCTGGCCCTGCTGAATGGGGCTATTGAAGCTCTTTGTAGGGTCAGGCAGCAGACCACACCCCCGCCCAGAGCCTTCGCCATGCTGTGGACTCCTCTCACACTCTCACGGGGCAGCCCAGGCCCGGGCCGGCAGAGAAGCCTGGCGGCAGACACTGCTCTGGGGGCGTCTGGGACAGAGGACGATCGTGGGTAAGCTGGCTAGGCTGCCATCAGGAGGGAATCCCTGACATGGAGGGGGGCCTCCTGTCATCTGGGACTCTAGGTCCTGGGCTGGGTGACTCCCAGCTGGGAGTAGGGGTCTGCCCCTCTGCACAGGGAGGCATGCTGCAGGGGCTTTGAGGGTTGCCCTGCCTTCCCCACCAGGCTGGAGCAACCCGAGGAGGTGCTGTCTGCTGGGGAGACATGGCCAGCCCATCAGACAGAGGCCAGAGGAGGGAGAAGGGTGTTAGAACCTGGGCCTCTGGACCCGGAGCCCCCAGCCCAGCTGTCATCCTCTCCCCAGGGTCTGACACGGGAAAGGTCTCCAGGATCCGGCCTCGGCTCTGCTGTGCCCCCATCCCCCGCAGCCCTGAGTGGGGCCCGTACAAGCCCGTATGCTCTTTCCAGGCATGGGGGAGGGCCGGGTGCCATGAGGGTGGTGTGGGCGGTCACCCTCCTGTGGATGCTACTGCTGGTGTGCAGGCTGGGGGCTGTCAGGACGGGGCCCCCAGAAGAGGCCACCTTCTACTATGGAACCTTCCCTCCTGGTACGTCCCAATCTCTGGCCTGTCCTGCCTGTCTGTGTGTGGGCCTGCCCACCCCGGCTGACTTGCTAAGAGCTGGGTGTTGTAGCTTCCTTATGGGTGGGTGGGATGGGAAACACCTCCTGTGTTGGTTTTAAAATGAGTTCCTAACAGATTCTTAAAGATTGCTGGGACATCGTATCCACAGCACACGCTCATCAGAGCTCAGATTGTGCCCTAGATGTTGTATTATAGTCTACCCTCGCCCCTCCCCAGGGAGACCAGGCCCTAGGGAGACGGGCAGGTGGGAGGGACCTCCCAGGCCACACCGCAGGCCAGTGGGGAGTGGACCTGGCCCAGCAGGCCTCTGCTTTCAGGCTTCTCCTGGGGTGTGGGCAGCTCGGCCTACCAGACGGAGGGTGCCTGGGACCTGGATGGGAAAGGGCCGAGCATCTGGGACGCCTTCACACACGGCAGGAAGGGCCGGGTGCTGGGCGACGACACGGCCGACGTGGCCTGCGACAGCTACTACAAGGTCCAGGTGAGTGGCGTGTG